CATCTAAATTTACCCCTGAATATAAAAATACCGTACTGAATCCTTGATAATTAAAACATTTTGAAAATTATGTCTTCTTGATTGTACATGACCTGTACATAAAACTATATCAACTGATATTTTGCACTTAAAGGTAGCCTAATCTTGAAGTACCTATGCCACAGGCCCATGTTTTACGAATAAAACAGGCCAGGTTCTGCTGGGAAAAAACTTTCAAACTGCCAGTTAAAATTTTAAAATGTGTGAGTAAAACACAATCAATTTAAGGTTATTTTAAATTTGTAACTTTTAATAACTTTTAAGTGTCAAATAAGCAAAACATAGTGTGTCTAATGATACTTAGAAGAAGGCACGTGCAAGTTTAGAAAGGCAGGAATGTGCAACAAGTTTTTCTAAGAAACCTGACGCTTGATGCACACAGGCATGCACTTAGCTGACTAAGTATACTGTGCAGCCATCTGATAAACATTCACCTTGGTTATGAATAAAGGTAGGCTACAGAACTTATCAAGCTGTTAAAAATACATATAGATAATGCTTTGATAAAAAATTAATTTGTGCACTCCTATTTGCAACCACATAGGCCTCAGCTAAATAAAAATATGGGAAAACCCAATTTTTAACCAGATAAAACTCCCCCTAAAGTCCTTGTACCCATAGTCTGGCCATGCTGGTTTGCAAACTTGTTTGAATAAACGTACGTTTACACATCAATATCGGATCATTATTACTGGGTAGCCCAGTGGTAACACTACTCGCCTTTTAAGTAAAAGGTTTCCGGTTCAATCCTGAGTAAAGTATAAATGTACCCTAGCTTTTTGATCGTTCGAAACTGAACCCAGCTGTTCTTGATAATTGGACTTTTAATAAATGGTCCTGACTAATGAAACAGCTGATCTTAGGCAGTATCAAAGCTACACAGGTCATCACACACCATTCTACACTACTCATCCTGCACTCATATTTGGGTTAAAATACGCACATAGGCGGTGTCCGAAATTCCAAATTATAATGATATAATATTGAACCGTAATTTATAATGCTGCATCGGTCGTCGGAAACTGGCATTCATCAAATTCTAACTTGATGTAAATAAAAAATGAGAATAAAATAACTAACTTAGGCAATTCTAATTTAAGTAAGTTTACCCTATTTATATTCATTCATGTTGAAACTTTGATGTCTGACTCCATCGTAGGCTTTCAACGATTGTAAATTTCTCTCGATAATTAAAGCCTGAGTAGAAAGTTTGAGTTTTGGTTAGGTTAAGTTTGACCATCAAACGAATCATAATTTTATTGTTAGATAGCCTGATTCAATCACAGAGCAGTTCTTATATAATGCTCTGTGGATTCAATGGAATCAAAGATAAATAGGCCCTATCAACGTTTTAAAGTTTTTGCTTTTAAGAGAAACATAAACATTAAACTATAAATGGGTAATTTTGTTTTTGTTGTTGGATATAATAATTTCCGGAGCTGTTTCAGCTAACTTTAGCTCATTTTACGCCATAGAGTGATATTTACGTTTGTGTTTTGTACTTATTTTTATGTTAAGCTTATTTTGAGCTTAAGTGACCAATCCAAACGATCCAAATTTTAAAGAATATGATTACGATGTTGGAAAGACATAAGTTACTTTTTTATTCTATGCTCTGTGCTTTTAATCTTCCTGCGTAGGCTTTTGCAGGCAGTGTCATTGAAATCCATGGTGATGGTTTTCGCTTTAACCGCGTTGACAACCATGGATTTCAATAAGTTACTCTTGAAAACAATAACTTAGTATAAAAGTGATCATGATGAACCTGAAAACAGTATTTACGTAACTTAGGCCTAGTGGAAGTCTTGGTGGGGAATGTGGTTTGAGGATATGTGAGTAGAACTGAGTGGTTTAGATTTACCTACTTCAGAGTGATAAGATACATTTTGATGGATAAAAATCAAACAAGCGAAGAAATAAGGTCGACAGATATTATATTCTTCTGCCGCCCACAAGAATTACTGTGAAGATTATTGGCAAAGTTCAAATTTTGTTCCGCTACGGGCGGGAAATAGATACAGTATATCTGTTCACTTCGCTTTGTATTTGGCCCTAAGACAGATATACAGTAGGCCTAGATCTGTCATAAATCATATTGAATTAAGCTATGGTAGCCCAATTCAAATTCAACTTTTGTACAAAAATTAGTTCAGCGCTAAGGAAAATCGGTCAAATATGCATTACAGGGTTTGCACGTGATTTTTGAAACTTTTTTCATTCTACTCAAAATTCAATGCTGATTTCGAAAATGACGTTCTTTTTCTGCAGAAAACAACCATAACGCGGAAAAAACTACCAACATTTTTTTTTTACCAAAACACATCATGCTACCACTAAAACTAACCAGAATATTCAGCAGATCACAAATATTCAAGAATTTTTTGGATTCAACGACAAATAAGCGAGATTTCCGAAAATCTGCAATGCTGTCTAGCTCAATTGCGAGAGATTGGAAATAAAATCTTTTACTGATGCAAATAATATTAAGCAGTGGTTTGACTTCAATTTACTGAACCTCAATCCCAACAAAACTGAATTGCTCCTTTTTTTCAATCCAAGGCAATCCTTCTACAAACATCCTTCTAGAATATGTAGAGGCAAATATTTACTGTAGACTTACACTGGGATGATGTAATTTTTATATGTCTACTTACGGAATTTTTAACGCTGAATCCAAATGCAATCAGTTTTTGTCGGAGAGATTCCTAAGTGGCCGTAAAACGACGAAGGTTAGGATTACGAATCTAAGGATAATTGAGCGGTACTGAAGGTAATGGTAACATGGCGTGGTCTGGACGGGTCCGTACTGAGTGAGGAGTGAGGACTGAGTGAGAAGAGCAAGCCTAGCTTGCTATTACTGATATTTTAGAATAAATTATATTTTGTTTTATAATTTATGATCATGTGATTTATAGTTTGTATCATAGTTGATTTGTTGTATTTTCAAAACAGCACCAAAGTCCATTTTCTTTTAAAAATCTTGTTACCTATTGCATGTTGTAACTCTGATTTTGCTCTCATGGCGTCGTGTGCGGTTTTGTCTGTTTAGTATCGAATGTAAACAACTGACGGCTGTTTCTACTCCACAAACCTTCCACCCCTCTTAGTGTTAGTCGCCACTACAACTTGGACTCGTCCATACCTCAAATATGATAATAAATCTACAAAACTGAAGCTTAATATTAATTTATTTAACTGTACGGCCACTTAGGAATCTCTCCGACCAAAACTGTTTGCATTTTTGGATTCAGCGTTAAAAATACCTACTGTAAGTAGTAGACATATCCAAATTAAATCATATCCCAGTGTAAGTACGGTAAATAATTACCGATGTAGAAATTAAGCCCCCAGACAGTGTAAAATTTCTTGGTCTAATAGGCTATTAGACAAAATCCTTTGATTTCATGACCATGTAGACAATGTATGCATGAGAGTCGGGTCTGGCATCTTCCTTTTAAGGCAACTTGCACATTTCTCCGATCAGAAAGTCCTTCTGACAGCCTATTAAGGTGTAATCTTCACTCATTTGGTCTACGCAGTACATACCGACACAAGGATGCGAGAATGATAGAACTAGATTTTTATTTCGACTCCAAAAGAGAGCAAATCGAACTAACTTAGGTATCTTTAAAATCAGTCCAAGAACTTCTTGTGCAAAGATGTCTTTTTGTGTTCTATTTTGAAATGAAATGAAAAAGTAATGAAACACTATTTCCAGGCTGTGTTTCGGATTTTAACTTTTCCTTGTTTATAAATTCTTGAAACACTCTCCCTTTTTACAAACAACTTCTCTATCTTTGCAACCACAAGATCTTGCCACTTGTGTGAACCTGGCAATAACTCGGCAATAAGTAGTGCACGCGCCATAAAAAATCTATTGCTGGCCGTTTTGGAGCAAAATACGTCCGCGATCCATATTACCAATAATGCCAACAGATAGAGGACACTTTAACGGACACGACAGTATCAACATTATGTACCTGGGGAGTAGAATAAGGGGGGTAAAATCAGCAATAAGTTGTGCGCGCGCCCGCTAAAATCTATTGCCGGCCGTTTTGCGGCAAAATACGTCCGCGATCCATATTACCAATAATGCCAACAGATAGAGCACACTTTAACGGACACAACAGTATCAACATTATGTACCTGGGGAGTAGAATAAGGGGGGTAAAATCAGTAATAAGTTGTATGTGCGGCCAGTAACATCTACATTAAACAACTAATACAACTAGTACCTAATAGTAAAAGTAGTTCGTAAGGAGCATAAAATAAACAACCAGTCTTCAACAAGTGTCAACAAAACAACAACAAGTGACAACAAGTGTCTTCTATCTGTTGGCGTCATCGGTAATATGGATCGCGGACGTATTTTGCCGCAAAACGGCCGGCAATAGATAATAGCGGCCGCGCGCACAACTTATTGCTGATTTTACCCCCCTTATTCTACTCCCCAGCTACCGGTACCTAATGTTGATACTGTTGTGTCCGTTAAAGTGTCCTCTATCTGTTGGCATCATGGGTAATATGGATCGCGGACGTATTTTGCCGCAATACGGCTGGCAATAGATTTTAGCGGGCGCGCGCACAACTTATGGCTGGAGTTATTGCCAGGTTCACGCCAATGATCTTGCCCATTCTCTGCGAAACAGCCTCGATCTTCAGATACCTAAGCATTCTACCGTACCACTTTTATAAAAAAAATCTATAACGGAATCCTGCTCATCAATGCTTTGCCAAATCATCTAAAAATTGAGTCAGGTCCTGTAATAAAAGTAAAAAAAATCCCTGGAAATTACTAGGTAACATCCTAAATGCTACTGCCATGTAGTGAGTTTATTGCTGACGTGCATTTCCAAACAAAATAGTACTAAAACACACAGTTTTAAAATGGGGATATTATCTTCCTCAAACTATTACCGAAACCGTCAAGAACGGAGTAAATAAACAAAACAGGTACTTACACCAGCTTGAGGCAGTACGCCCAAGGAATGCACCTGTTTCACGGTTGTATAGAAATCTTTTCACTTTCACGCTTGTTGGCTCTTTAAGAGGCATATTATATGGATTCACCTGTTCAATCATAGGTTCTTTCGATTTGGACATTTTCCTCAATTACTTCTATCACTTCACAAAAACAAAACAACACAACAATCAGCGACCAACGTGCGATTTGATGCCCAACTGTGAAACGAAAGTCGAAACGAAACAGAAACAAAACAGACGCTTGATCGTGTCGGACTGACGCTCCCACACAACTTTTTTTCTCCTTTCTCGCAGTAAATGCAGCAAAATAGCTGTTGAAGTTGGTTTTAGTTCAGGTAATCTCCGCTGCAGGTCAACGGATAGAGCGCTAGCAACTTCGATAGGCAATTTCCATCACTGATTATAACATGTTTCACTGTCAATAATTATGATTGTTTATTACTTGTTGGTTTTGCAAATTTATTGAATGTTTTGAAATAAACCTGCTACTGTATTAAGGTCGTTAATAAAAAACAACTGTGCACCATGAAATTAGTAAATGTTTCTTGGAGTTACATAATGTTTCTGAACATAACTTACGAGTATTTCATGCTCAAACTTTACAAACACTCAACTTTATTACAAATTTGCGGTACGTCCATACCTTTAGTTTAAGGCCAAAATTATGAAAATCGGTCGGGTAGTTAAACTCGGGGGTTAAACTTTACCATTAATATTACTGAGTAAAGTGGTGTATGGATTTTATAACCATTATTTTACTAGAGACCGTTGTATTTAACCACAACGGGCCCTGTTGCTAGTTATTGATATAAAACTAAAAAATAATACTCCTATCCATCCCATAATATGACCATAACTAACTGTGAAACTGTTGTGTCTGCAAGTTCTATAATTTGAAATTAGCTGAGTGGAAACAGTGCTCGTCAAGTCAAACTTAGTACAGTAGTCGGATATGAGGTTAGATCCTTAAAAAGGTCAGTAGTTTGAGCTGAATAAGATTATTGGGCTTTTCATAAAAATGGTGTTGTGTAAACATATGACTGATTTTGATACGTACCAAACCTCTAACCCAATACAGTATTTATTTCGTGCTTTCTTTATCTTTAGCTCATTCCCACCCAAACCATAGTCTTTTTCTTGTGGTGCCTTGGTGTTGTATAGCCTAAATAATAATGATCTTTATCTAGACAGTTATACATTACCTAGTTACATTTTAGTTAATTTATCTGTTAAATTAAGATGATAACTCTAATTACTGCCATTGACTATACATCTCCCTTAGGAGATATATATAATCAATGCAACAACAGTAACTAGCAAAGGCGGCCGTGGTGTTTTATACGCTACATGGCGAGGAAATGCAGTTAGCATTGATGTGGAAATGTCAGGGGAAGAAAACGAACGAATAATAATAATTGTACAAAAAGTGTTTGTTTACTTGGCACTGGCAGTGTTTGTTTATTATTGTTTAACCTGTTTGTTTAATTTACTGATTCCTGTTCCTGATTCTAAATCTAAATAAATACTAATGGCTTTGCTATTGCTTAGAGGAATGTAGGTTATGTACACTTTTATAATTTAAATTTCAATACTTTCTAAGAAAAAGTTACATTTTATTCTTCACTGCCCTAGGTTAATTTATCGTAACAATGGTATTTCCATTTCCATTAGGGAGGTTGCTTGTGATACTCATTAGCATTTTAAAGGTGTTCTGTTTAGCTCAAGAGACAAACTATACTTTAAACAAAAATGGATACATTGTTTACTGTCCCTGTATGGGTGAGTTAATTATTTTGTTATAGTCTTAAGCTATACCGTAATTTAAATTACCAAGGCTAATTCCAGTTCAGTGATTTGAGTGATTTCACTGTGTGCCGGCCACTCGTGGGAAGGGCGGAAAACTCAATAAGGGAGGGCCGTTAATTCTTGGTTTACCGGTATTGTTTTAACAATAGCCTACACCATTTTACAATAAATACATAAATGACAAGCTACATGACAGTAAATTACTTCTAGGCCTATTTAAAAAAAGAGAAAAAGATGACAAAAACCCTTTTGCTGCTAAACCTATATTATCAATTATAACTACAGTAACTTAGACTTCCTCTTCCTGGGTACCTTTTAACCAGACATCGGTATAACCGGACTACACTCGGCGGATATGACATCTCTTTAACCAGACAATTTTAAGGTTTAACAGTACCTAGCCTACTAGATCGCCTGGAAGTGGGCTGCACTGAAACGACTATTTATTCTCAAAAACTCCTGGGCTATAGGCCTAACCGTTCTCATGGGAAAGATTTGAGACCAGTGATCACATGTCTAAATAGAATGCTCTCCTAATTTTAAGTCGAATATCACAGTAAACGGTCTGTTTTAACAAGTTTTCGGGGACGTCGGTTTAACCAGAAAACCCGTTATCCGGACTTGCCTCGGTCCCGAGGAGTCCGGATAAGAGGGAGTACCCCTACTATAGGCCTAAGCACTGAACACCAAGTAAAAAGTTTAATTTTTTGAGTGAGTGTGTGCTTTTGAGGTATTTTAACCAAAATAGGCCTACGAGTGAAGGATTAGCGTAAAAGGGTGTGAGATAATCCGTGTAGCTTTTGATCCTGTCTATGATGACCTGTTTCTTCAGTTAGGATCATTTAAGATAAAAAGCCCCATGATTAAAAACAGCTGGGTCTAGTTTCAAACCATCTAAAAGCTAGGTTTAAGTTATTAAGCTAATTTTTTCTCAGAATCCAACTGGAGTCCCTTTGATTGTTAGGCAAGCTCCATAGCAACTCAGCTACCCAGGCAGTTAAGAGTACAAGCATAACTAAAACAGATTCATCTTTCGGGAATGACAATTAACTTACGCTGACATGATTATCAGATTAGGAATGAACAGAAAACATCAAAAAAGATAATATGATAAAACATTTGTCATGACCTATCAAAACAAACACTTTACCGGTACCTTCTCCAACATGTAGGCCCCTAACTTACTTCAAAATAACTTCTTGATTAGCATTGTACATGTTATTAAATCAGCTGAAAAAAACAAAAAAGATGTACATCTTATAACACTTGTAATAATATGTTTAGTACACTTGTACTGTTGAATCACAAGACGGTAAATCCTCTACATATATAAGATGGTATTGGTGATCAATTTTGATTGGACACTCCAATCATCATCAGACCCAATAGGCAAATTACAAGAATGTAAATGGCGTCCCTTTATACAATTGGCTACCGGAGGTAGGCTACCGGCCAATAAGTATTTATAAGTGTAACTGGAGTCAAAATCCACTTGTTCATTAATGAGCGTAGCCTATTTCTATGTTTACATTTTTCTTGTAAATAACTTAGGCTATAAGTTACAGTTATTCCCAAGCATTCATCAAATTTCCTTTCTTACAATTGTTTAAAATTGTCTCCCATTATCCTTAAAAATGGCCATATTATAACAAGTGTTGTGCAAATTTTGATCTGTTTCTGTTTTGTTGTTTCTCCATGCAGATGTGTGGTTTTTGAAACTTTTAATAGAGTTTACAGTTTGTCCGGTAAACATGATCACAATTGTTACAATTGATTTTGTAGATGCCTGTAGTGTGAAATGGGCCAAGCACATATCTCAGCTTGTATCTGGTTAAAAGCAGCTGTGTATAATCTTGTGTAAACTTATTTTTCAGCTTAAAATTGATTACAGTTTTATTTTTTCAGGCCGGTTTGGTAACCAAGCTGATCACTTTCTTGGTGCGTTGGGATTTGCAAAAGGCTTAGACAGAACGCTAGTACTCCCCCCTTGGGTTGAATACCGATACGGTGAACCTAGATCTGTAAGTAATTGTCTAAATTTCCTTAACATTCATATTTCCTTACTATTTATTTGTTTTTATTTCAAAATTTATATCTAGGCTTAATTTAAAAAAGATTATACAGAAAAACAGAATAAATCTATTGTAAATAGATTGTAGGGTATATTGTATAGGGTGAGGTGGGGTAAGAGCATAAATGGGGCAAGAGCATACGAGGTATCTCAATCGCTTACGTTTTGCCCTACAGTACCGGGATTTGCAACAAAAGCTTCATTTTTTATCATTCTTCATGTACATTATAGGCCTAAAGCTATATTTCCATGGAATAATTTAAATATGTGGAATAAACTTTTCAAAGATCATGTAATTCTTCCTCCAAGGGAAAAATTGTATAGGTTTTTTAAAATATAACAAAAAAGTAAAAAATTGTATTATTATTATTATTATTAGGCCTATTGGTTTATTTTGAACAGTTTTAAGTGTACTTTTCAGTCATGTTTGGATTTAGTTTCCATCTATTATAGTTTAAAAATTAATGGGCGTTGTGCACTTGCCCCCTATTTTTGTTGATGTGGGGCAAGTGCACACACCATGTGCAACACACATGTGTAAATATGAAAAATAAGTGACTTTTAGAGTGAGTAAGTGTTTTTTATAACTTTATTTTTAACGTAAAAACAGTTTTCATGTTTGAAAAGTTATAAGGACACTTAAGAATACCCATTTTTATCAAAACTATTTATTTCCACTACCAGGAGATGGATTAACCCAATTTGGTAAGTGAAATAAAAATTACGTTTTTAAGCATTTTTAAAAACAAGATTTCTTGCCTTTGAAAAAGTTCGTATCTCAAAAACCGTAAGAGATAATTCAGTTCTGTAAAAAGTGTTAGAAAGCTCTCAAAAAGTTCTATATGCTCTAACCCCCACTGTTTTCCTAATACACTTACCATGGGATATAGAGACAGAAAATGCACTTGACCCACTATTTGGGGCAAGTGTATACACTGGGTAGAAAAAATTAAAAAAAGAAAAATTATAAGAGTTTTATTTTTTATTTTTTTGAAAATTTCAAGACTAATAGAGAACATTCTTGAAAATGCATGGTAAAAATATGAATTTTCTACCATTAAAAATTATGTGCTCAGACCTGGTCAAAGTTGAACTTTTGATTTTACGTAGTGCACTTACCCCACCTCACCCTAGGGTATATGTTTAGATTTTTATCCAAAGGATAAAGTAGAGAGGGCCTTGTGACCCTAACTTTGCCTGTGTTAATAAAACAATTATCATTTCATTTCAATAACATTCATGAGGGGATTAAAAAAAAAGTCAAAGACAATATTCATCCATCTTTAGATTGGTATCCAAGAATGGACGAATAATTGTCTTTTAACATTTGTTACCTACCTAACTTGCTTTTGAGCACTTCCAGATAGTAGAATATATTTACTGTATACGGTATTTGTAAACTTGCCCATGTAGTTCTGCAACCACCACTACTGAATGCATGAAAGCTTGTTGAGTCTTAAGCAGTAATTCATATGGTACCTACTCGTATCTAGTTATTTATTCATATGGCATGCACGGTAGTTTAGACTTGATAACTGAAGTAAGCATATGTCATGAAGTAAGTTAAAAAATAAAATACTATAAAATATGCAATATTAGCTCTGGATGTAAACTCTGTTCACAAAATTTAGACGGTTATAGGGGAAGAAATGTATCCCCTCCATGTCCATACTACTATTAAAATATAGCTCAACAGCTGAGATTTGTCAAAACAAAACGTCAAACAGCTGCAATATACATTATCTAATAAAAAGTGGTGGGGGTTTCCCTTCAAACCTTACATTTTGTGAACGGACTATTATAAAAGATGAGGCTTGTTCTATTTTACTGAAAAGTAAAAATGAACTCTTTGTAGTGTGGTAGATATGAGGCTGTTCTAAGTCTATTGCTTAGTGCAATTTTGTTCTTTGATTGATGATTTGAGGTAAATTAAATCATAAACATTATTAGGGATAGTTTAATGTGCCACCACAAACACTCACCAACAGAGCATTTAGCCTATTTTGTATAAATTGTAGCTTGTGCGTAATAAAGACACAATGGCCTTGATAGATAGAGATAGAGATTTACCAATCATATTTTTTGTTCCAGATCCAAGTTCCATTTGATACATACTTTCGAGTTGAACCACTTCAAGATTTCCATGATGTTATAACTATGGAATATTTTATGAAACATATTGCTCCGATCATATGGCCCCCTGAAAAACGAATAGGTAATGTTTTCTAAAAGTCTGGTAGTTTTTTTCAACTACAACTATCCAGGACTGTATTTCCCTAACGGCGGTTGCCAGGGGCCTCGACCTAAGAGGTATCCTCACTTGGGGCCTCAAAAGATTTGTTTTCTTTTGTAAAATGATTTTCGCTGATAGCTTACCTATTTTGTTAGAGTTAAGGGGTAGGATTTTTGAGGCGAGCTTTAATTCTTGCAATCTCGGAAAGGAAAGACACTGTGAAGATTGTCCGATCAAAAATCACGATTTTACAGTGATCATGGGTGACGATAATCAAGTATCCGTGAAAAATGTTCACAATTCTTCCAAAACTAAAGAGACGTTCTTGATTTTGCTGCAACTTTTGCGGAGTTTTGTTCCCGCAAACGTGAAATATGTGACGATTTCGCCGATATTGTATTGTAAGAGACAGTAATTTCTCCACGATGGCACAAGATTTTCACCCTTCCTCCCTCCCATATAGTAGACATGGATGATTCCTGTGGTACCACAGAAGATGTCAACAATATCGTCATGACCGAAGATTACGTGGTTCATGAGTTTGTCATGGACAAGGGCAATTTCGTTAATTTTATATATTTTCATACTTTTGGCCTGAAATCATGTCTGGTCCGCAAAAGTTACCTCTAATAGTACCTATTATTGACAAAAGAAATTGAATAATTTATTAGCTAGTGACCTAGGCTATTCCAAGGTCTATTCGTGATCTGATCGTTGAAAACAAAGTGTCGAGTTCATTCAGTTGTATCAACATAGAGGGGCCTCTCTGGTGTAAGCCGCCGAGAGTCACATCAATTCAAAATGTGGGCCTGCAACTATCCCAGACCACCTATTATTGAAGAGACAAAACTTAGTAGCCTATCTGTTTGATTAACTTATTAGAATTATCACCAATATTTTATGACTTTTTGTGTTATCTATACTATCTTGTAAACAGAGTACAAGAGTGTTGGTGTAGGATTAAACAAATGTTACAAAATCAAAGTACATTAACCTTTGGTTTTGTTAGCATCTCAAACTGTAAAGAAAAAAGGAACAGGATGATTCCTTGGCATATCAAAAAATGTGAAGCATTAGGACCTTTTCTCTTTAAAATTTGTTAAGTGTTCTTTGCTTCTTTCAATAAAAGGCTGCTGTTTAATAACTACTGGTTATACTTTGCCGATACATAAAAAATGTGTTGTCATTATATTGACATATATTTTAAGTCCCTATAAGAATATCGATATATTCTCGCTTTTCGTTTTATATCGCTTAAATTCATACAATTGAAGCAATAGTATCTCACAGATAATATCTGCTTATTTAGACAATGTAATGAAAAAATTAAAAAAGGTTTTTATGTACTGTACGTGCTGATATGAGGGCACTATACGTCACAAATTTGTGTACAGTATTTGTGTTTGGCTACATCTAAGGATGGAATGCAATGACATGTTGTTTGTTTAGCGTTCTGCTATGTTGCGAGAGGGACTAACAACGGTTGTAATGCAAAGGAGGGGAATCCGTTTGGACCGTTCTGGGACACTTTTGATGTGGACTTTGTAGGCTCTGAGTTCTACAGCCCCTTGCATTACGATGTCCATCACGCCAATATGGCGGAGAGATGGCACGAGAAGTACCCTGCTTCTGAGTGGCCAGGTAAGCTTTCATTGGATCATCAAGTTCACGATACGTTTGATTAAAGTGTTTCATGCATCAAAAGCGAGGTCTGCTGCTTCTGGCAAAATTAAAAGCTTTATGCTATTATAGTTTCAAGCAAAGTTTTAATTTCTTTACATTATTCTATAAGTGTAAATTTTATTGTAAGTTGTGTATGTTGGAAATCTGAATTTTATCCAAGCACTGAACAGTCTAGCTTAGGTAAAATTCACTGCAAGTTTTGCCAGAATTTTATTTTCAGGGGGAATCTTACTATATGATTTGTGGGAACAAGGCAAAAACATCGTACATATTATTTGTCAATAACAGAAAGAGTAGGTCCACTATAAATGAATTGTAGATGAGATAAACTTATGAGTGTTAGAAATAGTATTTGGCTGTCATTTTCAGAATCTTTTTGAAAAAATATAGAGTCTGATTTAGTGGGTTTAATTCACTAGGCTATTGTTAAAGCTGTTGTGGTAGTCAACCTGATTTAGTTTAGTTACATTTTTGTGCGTAAATAAGCTTGATAAAGTGTAATTTTGTTGTTTTGTTTCAGTACTTGCATTTGCTGGTGCACCAGCTAGTTTTCCAGTACAAGCTGAAAACCGAGATCTTCAAGCGTACTTGAAATGGAGTTTGACACTTGATGAAGCAGCTGACAACTTCATTAAAACCAAACTGCCTAAAGGCGGCTTTATTGGAATTCACCTTCGAAATGGCATTGATTGGGCAAGTTATCAATTTGTTTTAAAATCACAAACAAATACAATGTTTTTTTTTAAAGATGCTAACATTTAATAAAAAAATACCTTTCAATCAGATAAAAAAATATAAAGTCAAATAAAAAAACATTTAAACACTTTCTGGCAGTGATCTACTTGACAACCTTGAAACTACATTCATTGTGAAAATACTCGCATAATCCAGACGAATCGTCTACTTAGAGAAAATTAAGAGTGACTTTCTAAACATATTTTACTCTTTCAAATAGACAGATTTTGTATAATGTTGATGAACCTATTGGAATGTAATTAAATAATGTCAAACTTATAGGGTTGTCTCTGTAACACCCCTTATCCAGCTGTCCGACTGAACCAATTTTTACTATTCATTTTACTTCATTTTACAAATTATGATCAAGCCAGTGAACACTTATGGTTACGATATAAGTGTTTTCGTTTAGGGCTTCGCCCCATTGGGTTTAATTTCTTTCTTTCTAGAGTTAGTTTTCATAGATCCAGTGATGCCAACCAACTTTCTTCATAACTGGTTCAAAATGTATTGTAATTTAAAAGCTCTTCATTCAATTGAAACTTTAATCTCAGTCAGATAGTAAACAAGAGGGAAGAGACAAAACAGTTTATGAAAATTTAATTTAAATAGCCTACTTTTTTAAACTGTGACCTAATTGAGGTAGGAAAATCACTCTTTGTGGTGAAGGTCTAAAATTAACAAATTTATTTTAAATTAGTAAAAGTTTTATTTGCCTAATGCACTGTCAAACCCAATCTTAAAAAGGTAAATGGGTATTACACTGCATTCATTTTTCCTTGGAAAACAAGTTTAGATCACAATTAATATGGAAAATTTGTAACGGGTCCCCTTTGCTATACGTATTGTTTGATTTAAAATGAACTAATTGTGAAGCAAGTGCTTTTTTGGATAAACTGTTTGTCTAGCTTATGGTTTGTGTTCTGGTGGTTACAGGTACGAGCGTGTGAACACATTAAAGTCAGCCCCCACTTGTTTGCATCACCACAGTGTCTGGGGTACCGAAATGAGTTTGGACACGCAACACAGGAAATGTGTTTCCCCAACATAGAACTTATAGTCAAGCAGCTGAAACGGCTAATCCGCAATTCCAAAAACGTCTCGTCGATATTTGTTGCTTCAGACAGCAATCATATGATTGGCGATTTGAGTAAAGCTTTGAAAAAGGCGGAGGTAGGTAAAATAGAATATAATGTGGTAGGATTAAAATTATATGAACTATTTCTCAGTTATAAGGTACGTTGGGATAATTACTTTACCTACTACATTAATACCTACTACCTTTACCTACTACTTTAATCGAAGAAATGTTTTGAAAAATAACATATGTGTGCAAAACTTTTTATTGAATAAAATTAATAATTTATCCTAGAAGATACTTTAATTTTGTCGATGTTGATTTAAATGTTGTAAACAAAGTGTTTCAATACATCCAGTATTGCTAAAAAGTATTTAAGTATGTAAAAAGTATGTCTCCTTGTACCTGAAACAATTGACAGTAAGAATGCTGCTAGTAGTACCTATTTCCTGAAAAAGGTAACAGAAAGAGTATAGGTTATGCTATTTTATAAACGTTTAAACAAATGATCGTAGGTATAGTAGTGTAAGCAACTTGCGTCATTAACTTAGGTAAACTGCTTGGCATTTTTGGGTTGAAATAACTTCTTTCACTATGTATGGAAGTAGTCCTAAATAAAATATTCTGCATCAAGCTCCAGGATTCGTATTCATGCCGAGCATACTTACACTTAATTCTTTGTTGTAGGTTACTGTTCATAGACTGGAAGAAAACAACCCTCACTTAGATTTGGCTATTTTGGGCCGAGCAAACTACTTCATAGGAAATTGCATCTCATCTTTCTCAGCTTTTGTGAAAAGAGAGCGAGATGTTCGCAAGTTTCCCTCTGCCTTTTGGGGATTTCCTCCTCCTAAAAAGACTGCATCACACGATGAACTTTAAATCTAAGTCTTAAGCTAAGTTTAGAGTCAATCACATAATAAGATGTACATTAGATCTTTGGTATGACATGCTTGCTCACTTCAAAATGTATATTAAGCCATGATGTACAAGTTGATTAAGCCACATTTTAGTCAATCTGTAATTAGTTTTTCTAACTATTTTAGTATTTCATATCTTTAGGTAGCTCATGCAGATTAGCTGTAAAAGAGTATTACTCACTAGGATATATGTTATCTAGTGCTAATATTGTTGTAATAGTAACGGTACAACGGAGACACTTACCTCCACTACCAGGCTTTCAAAGGTGCCCTAGCCTTTGAACATAACGAGTCAATCCTCCTTAAACTCTGTGATCTGACCAAGGTTTTTGATGTGGTGTCCCATGAGCTACTGATACGCAAACTAGCAAAGTATGGTGTGGGCTGAATTGTGCTGAACTCCCTGTCCTGTTATCTGGCAAATTGCAGGCAAATAGTTTCAATAATTGGGGCCTTCTCTTGCATCAGGTGTATCTCACATGGAGTGCCACAGGGCTCGGTGCTCGGCCCTCTCCTTTTCAGTGTGGTGGTGAAAGACTTAAGGCTAAATGGCTCCACCCTCTTCTTTGCTGACGACACCACCCTGATATCTAGAGGAAGCAACATTGAGCAACTGCATATTGAAGCTGACCATCTTTTGGAGCTGGAAGAACTGGTTTACAGCAAACCGCCTGAAATTAAATGCAGCCAAAACTCAGTCCTTGCTCTGCACACTGAAGCCACTAAGCGAAAGGGATGAGGCGGTTAAACTTCTAGGTTTCTGGTTGGATCCCAAACTCAGCTGGAGGTCACAAATTGATATGGTATGCGCACGGCTAGCCTCCTAAGAAAACTTCGGAACATCATCCCGAAACAATTCTTGATAACTGTGTACCATGCTCTGTTTCATAACCATCTTATGTACGGCTTGGTACTTTACGGTCATTCACCAGCAGCACAGGACATATTATTGCTTCAGAAAAAGAGCTGTAAGAATCATAATGTCAGTCGACTACAACGAATATTGTAGGCCCCTTTCTAAAGACCTGGGCAATGGGCATTCTTACAGTCTTTAGTCAATACGTATTGAACATCCTAATACTTCTGAAAGAGAATGTCCATCTGTTCGACCGCAGAGATGACACTTGGCAAGCGCTTTACCTAGACATGCCGCGATGTCGTCTCACCCGCACCCTCAAGAACTATCCCCGCTATGCCATCTATATATATAATTCTGTAAGACCAAATTTTTACCAAAAAATTGTGGACGTCTGGTAAGTTGCAGAAAAGTGGGAGAGGTCTTAAATTAAAGGTCTTAACCCCAGGGACTCGGTGAAAATAGGAGAATTCCCATAAAGTTACCAGAAAACGAGATATAACGTAAAATATCCACCATAAGAAATGCATGGGGACTGAAAAACGTCTGCATTCTATCAGCTGTTACTTATTTATTTGCAATGTTTACATTTATTCCGAAAGTCAATGTTGGTAAATAATGTTTCAAAATGAATTGAGTTTAATTTTTTTGTTTTCCGTTTTTATAATGAGTGAAGTAACTAGACAGGGTAAGGGAAGACCTGCAAGCCGTGGAAGAGTGTCCAGGAATTCAACAGACTTAAGACATGCAAAAGAGAACGTCATGTAGGGCCTAACTGTGAAAGAAATCTAGAAGCTGTTTTACAACCTGTATTTAGAAGAACGCTGGAAAATGAGTGTTGTTTCTCACAATCTAGGTCCTCTTAAAGCACTTGCATGCATTGTGGTGCGTTTCACTTCGCAGAGGAGGCCACAAATGGACATTTCAACGCATGTTGCCACAATGGACATGCCACAACCACAAGTAAATGACAAACTAAAAGAACTGTTTTTACATGATTCCAACTTCATAAAAAACATAAGGCTATACAACAGTGCAATGGCTTTTGCGTCGCTTTCCGCTCCACAAAAAGAGATTCCGGGAAATAGGACTTACTGTCTTAAAACTCAGGGACAAATTCATAGATATTTTTGACTTACTACCGCGAAATGGGGAGTTTCCTTCATAATAATTAATAATAATTTTAACCTTTACAATTGGTTCTCAAAATGGAAACTATAACAGAATTGGTAAGGTTACAAAACAAATCCTCAATTTTAAACTAGAAAAGATGTGCAATGTTTGGCTGTATGATTTCAGCTTTGATTCGTCGTTCTCCGCGGGCTCAGGCCAAACCGTGTGCACGTTTCCATTTGTTAATATTTTGTGTTATTGATTTAATCATGATTTTACAATTGTATTTCATTGACACATCAGAAGCAATTAATATACAACTCCACGGAAGGAAAACCAAGATATAAAACAAGAAACACAGTTAATTTTAAGTAACATAAAATTGATAATTTTAAAAACATATTTCGAATTCGTCTTTTTATGTATGGTTTTTTATTGTAGTCTAAATTAGGGGTTATGGCCCCTACAGGCCACTAGTAAGGCTAAAAACACCTTGCCGGATAAGGTGCGGGACATGAACATCACCTCTTTCAAAGCGGCAATCCGAAACAGCTTAGTAAATAGGCCACTATACTCGCTGGAGGAGCTGAGTGAAGTGCCCCTAAAAGTTACTTAGAAGCCATCCCCTAAAAATTTGTAACTCGTCTTATTAACCGCCACAGCCTGGTAAAGAGTTGTATGTATGTAAATAGTAGTGTTATATTTTTTAAATGTATATATATTGAAGCGGTCTATCCGACATTGTCGGTCAATGACGTAGCACACAAGTATTAAGTAAGGTAATGATTGTAATGATATTTTTTATGTAACTCCATAATTATTGTTTGCTTTCAGTAGTAATAAACTGCTTATGTTTTTAATATTTAGGCTAGGCCTATGCTTTCTACAGAGGTATAGCTAAGAGTATGGCATACACCAAAGATAATGAAACAAGATTTTGATGCATTTTAAATTAGTTCCTTATTTGGTATTATAAGTTTATTTCAAAGGTGCACCAATGTGTGAAAGAATTTAGAAGTTTAAACCTCAAAACTGTTTAATCTCTTATTGGTCAAACCAAAGTCTTTTTGGTCTTTGGTCCTATTGGTTTAATCATTAAGCTAAATCAGCAGCGTTAAGCAGCAAAAATGTTTTGCAAGACTCTTCAATAGTTTTCTTCATTGACCAATTATATTAAACTGAGCATGAATAAAAACATCTCAGTAAATTACAAAGTAAAGCGACTTCTTGAAGAAATGAAACCTATTATTTATCTCCCTAATGGGAAACATTAGCATCCATAGCACCTAAACACCTTATGTGAATGTTCCAAAAGTGATGATGAATATAGTAATTTAAACCAGTACAAACCATATACAGTAGGTAATACTTGTATGATATTATTTAGGTGCTTGGTTGTTGTCCGTGTTGTTTGCTTAGTTTTCTCATAAAAAATGTATTTTGCCATACCGCTAGTCTTTAATCTAGGTATTTTTAACAGAATGAGTTAAGTCCTAAATTTTAAAACTATCTTAATATGAGTTTGTAACTTTTTATTTGTTCAACTTGTACACATTTGATATTTATTCCTTTATTATTAACATTTTAAGCCCTTCTATCACTTTAACAAATTTAAATTTAAACACATAAAAATGAAGATCAATAAGATTGTTAAGATGTTTAGTATTGTGATTTTATGATAGTTTTAATCAAGGGTCGATTTTAAACAACTAGAAAAAAGAGATTCTGGAACCATCTATCTTACTCTCCATGAAAGTCTTTATTCTCATACTTTTACTTTCCACCCCTATACATAGTACTGTATGTGGAGAAAGTATTGTTTTTGTCAAAAGGGCGATAAAGTGAAAGATGGGTTCTTACAGGTTATTGCTTTGGAAAGTTTTTTGTTCCATCATCTCAATAACTTTAGTTTTAGTTTATGAAGGAGGGCCAGCTCGTGGCAAATTTTAGTTCCTGCATCTCAATTCAAAGAAATCGAACACTTGTTTTACTCTAAGCCAAATGGTTTTAATAACTCCGGAGGGAGTTATAAGCAATTAAAAACTCCCTGCTCTCTGTTTTAGTAGTTAGTTTATCAGGCAAAAATTAGCTATGAAAAGCTACAAGCAGTGAGTTCAATAAAGTAAAGAATAAGTAAAAACATGTTTGTTCTAAATGTTGTATTGTTAGTTAGAGTTAGTCTACATCTATAGATAATCTGTTTCTT